CCCCCCCAACACGCACACTTTTTGGCATTGAGCAACCCTGACATGCTGGCACCCTCCTCCTGCCCATCTGTTGCCCCTTACTCCCAAGCCACAGCCCCTCCCAGCCCTACCATTGCCCCTCACTCCCAATCTTCAGCACCTGCTCGCCTCCACTTCTTCAAAGCAGCAGCTCTCCCCTGCACCAGGACACACGTCCAGTTGCAGTTGTCCCCCTTGCTGCTTTCTGGCTCTGAGCAGTGCCGCCCCCGCTGTTCTGCTCCTTGTGTCTGTTGGCAGCAGTAAGGGCTGGGTTCAAGTTTTGCAGGATCCTAAATAAGTTTATCTTTGGCTTGAGCCCCCACCCAAAAACCTGGGACAACTAGATTTAAACTGGCGTGTCCTGAATAAACAAACTTCTCCCTTGCAAGCAGTGTACCAACAAAAGCCAGACTTATTATAAGACAAAAGGGAAAGAAACACAAAGTACAACCTAGAGCACTTTTAAGCTCTAAGTTCTATATAGTCCAGCCCCACCTGGGTTTTCTGCTCTCCTCAGCCTTGCTGTGGCCCCTGCTCCCACTGGGACCTCCACTTCCCCTACAGTCCTGTCCATAGTCCACCAGATGTTACCTGGCCACTAGCAGACTGTCTGCTCTGTCTTCTGGCTGGGGCTTATAGACTGCTAGTCCTACCCCTAGAGGGTCATGTAACTAGCCTAATTGCCAGCTGCTCCCCCGTATCCTGGCTCCTAGAACCTGATTCACAGTCTTTAGGGTGGCTTATGCACTCTTTGGCATCTTTTCTAGACTTGAATGTGATGTCCAGAGGCTGAAGTAAAAATTTGAGACGCATCAAAACATGAGTCAGTATGTAGGACTGACTCAATTCGTGATTGCATTTTCTTTTCTTGGAAAGCTCAAAATCAAGTGTTTTCTGTGAAAAAAGCAAGCTAGCTCCAAGATTTTGTTGGGGATAAAAAGAGGACTTGCTGGTTCCCAGCAGAAAAGGTGGGAAGTCTTCCCACCCAAGAGAAAACTGCAGCAAGCCCTACTGGAGCCTTGAACACAAGGGGCCCCACTCAGCCCAACTCAAGGGGCCAGTGCCCCTCATTCCCAACCTGTAGCCTCCTGGACCCCCAGCCCTGCTGGAAGGGGCCTCCAGCTCCCCAGGCCCTACTTACCCCAAAGGTTGCAGGAGGCAGAGTCTGAGCCAGCCCTGGCTGGTCTCAGATTCTCTGCCCCTGCCCTCGCTCCCTCCCCCTCCAGAAAGGGCCTATGCTTTCCTGCCCTTTTTGCAAGCAACTTGTTGCAGACGGGAACTTTGCCAGCCATAGGGCAGCTGTTTGTAAAAGGGGAAACCTATAGTTTCCCACTTTGAAGGGGAAAAGCCGCATTTTTTTGTACAGAAACCAAGCTCTGCATAGGGTAACCCCCCTGCTGAGGGCTAGGGTGCAATGTGTGCACATTTGAGCAATCACAAACACTGGCAAATTTCTCTGAATGATTGTTTTTTCAAAAGTTTGCAGCCCTTCATTTGGATATCAAGTGTTTTTTTTAGGATTGGGGTGTGACAAGTTATCCAAGTTGGGTAAAGTGTTCTAGAATAGCTTTACAAATAGAGTTTGTAAGACAGAATCAACAGATACTGTATGCCTTGTACAGAGAGGGCATACAAATTAAAGTGTAAACATATTTTCCTTATGGCCTTCCAGATGGACACACTTTTCCAGTGTTTCTTTACTCTTCCTTTACACATCACTGTTTGTTCATGTCAGAATTGCTGGAAAATTTGGAAAACTATGATAATTTGCATCTGAGCATTAACAGCACTTCCATAGGGGAGCTGAGCTGTCTGGTTGTGGATTTTGCCTTTTGTTGCCATTCATTGCACTGCTTTTAAGTTGTTCTCCCATATAGCTTAGCCTTCCCATTTCGGCACAGAGCCTTAAATGGATGTTTGCTATGCAATTAATTAATCTGAATTAATGTTCCGATTTATAGTGATTAACATAATGCCTCTAAAACGTTCATATAAATCCAATTATATCCAAAAAAAATACTTGAACCGTAGTTGGGGGTTTTTTGTTGTTGGTGGGTTTTTTTTAACTCGTTATCTTATCCGGTTATGTTAAATTGAAAATATAACAAGAATCATTTCAGTTATTGTAAGCTGCTTAATTCAGGTTAAAAAAAAATATATCTGATAAATTTTAATCTGTATTATTACCCATGTACCAATCCTTCTCATGTAATGCAATCTTTCCCCAAAGGATGTACACCATGGAAACGGTACTCAGCAAGCTTTCTACAATGACCCTAACGTTCTTTATATTTCACTACATCGCTATGATGATGGGAACTTCTTCCCAGGCAGTGGAGCTCCTGATGAGGTAAGAATATCATTAAACATGATACCTGTCCTCCACAGAGTTTGCTGTGATAGGTAGAAACTGCTGTAGTCGCAATTCAGATTCATTGACAGAACTGCGGGGACTTCCATCCAGGAAGAAATGTTTTGGCAGATACCTATTGAAAAAAATGTACCGTGTGTGTGCAAAAGAGTGAATTTTATTGTTTCTAAGTCCTAACAGCTCTAGGAAAATTAAATTTAACCTTTAACATGGCTCGCAAGAAGGAAGATGTCTTGGTAAACAACCATAGTTAAAAAGTCAGGATCAACATGATTAAATTCTCTCCAGTCAGTATTTGTTTAACAGAATAAAGTCAGTTGTCCCAAACTGCATTTCTTTTTACTGGAGAATATAACTCATTGTGCATTTCAGTGCTGCCATCTAAACAAGGCAAGTGTTTTGTGAGACACTATGAAAATGAGTTTATAGTTCCTATATGCGCTCACCAGTACACCACATGAATCTGAATTCCTGAAGAAAGTTAGCATTCTATCAGTGCTAATAATGCCCAGTAATAATGTAGTGCCATTGTAATAATGCCCATTCTTTACTCAGAGAAGTGTGCAACATTGAGAACAGTTTTTGTTACCTTTGGCAAGCTAGATATGAGATATTTTAGCTACAGAGCCATTGGAATTATCAGATAACATCCAGATACGCTACTAGAATCCCGGAAGCCTTCTACAAATGGGCCATGCAAATTAAAGTGGAAGTATTTTTTTTTCTTTGACCTTGCCAAGAGATACCCATACTTCTATTTCTTTCATTCTGTACTGAACTGCATCCTTAAAGAAGCAAAGTTTAGGCCTCCTCTTTGAAAGAGTACCTGTGAGCTATTTTTTCCTGTTCTCATTGTTTGGTGGAATCATCTGTTGTTCATTCTCTTACAAGGGCATACTTATGTCTCATGTTGTTTTCTGTTTTTCCTAAGAGAATACGGTTGGCATGAAAATGCATTTTTGTTTTAAAACCCACAGTAATTTGCCTTCCTTATAACAAACAAGCCAGAAATTATTCATTGCACAGAATTCTGTAATTCTTGGTTTTCCAACCTCATTGTAAGCTGACCTCATTAAACAATACTGGATACGTGGTTTACCAGAATGGTGTCCCAGAAAATATTTGCCACCAACTCATTCAGTGTTTTGACTTCTTATTTCAGTTTGCTCTCAGGTTATTTGCCTCTAGTTTCTAATCAATTTTATATAGAATTGAAACTAACCTCTGTTTAGCAGGTGTAAATAGAGAGAAAAGCATATAAGAGCTCATGAATATATCTGGAAACTGTTCTATATTTAAATAAAGTAATTCATATTATACACAATGACCTGAAATGCTTAATATTTTACCTGACTCCATAATTTTGAGTAATACTGAGTTAAACAAAATGGTTCCTTCCCAACAGAGATGCAGTTATAAGTGTAAATATACATACATATACGCCTATATGTATATTAATATAGTTATAAATAAATGTATTCAAAGTCCAGTTGAATAATTTAGCTAACTTTATTTACCCTGAAGCATTATAAAAAGAGCTTGACATTTCTTAGAATTTCTTACCCTGCCAATGCTTTATTGTTTTATTATCTTGTTTGTACATCACAACTGGAACAATGGCCAGCAGTTCTGTGTGAAAAATGTAACTGTTACTGTAGGCCACAGGAGTACCACAAGACCTTAGATTTTTGCGGGAACCACATTCATGCTGACTCTTGAAAATAACTTAATAAAGTTGTGTGTTAGAAAATTTAATCTGGGTTTAAAAGACATGTCATCCTAGGCACTAAATTATATATTGTAAAATAGGGCATGTAAAATGTTGGTGTTTTCCAAATGTTTTAGGAATTAAAAAGTATATGTTAGTCTCAACTGTAATTTTAATGTAGGCAGTATAGACCCACATGGTTTTCTAACAGCTGGTATTTACTGGAATTTCGTCAAAGAAAAATTTGAAACTAAAACTCTGTTGTTTATCTCAACTAATCTAACTGCCTATGCAATTGTATAATACTTCTATACTCATATTCTAGATTAGCCAGTATTAGGCAAGAACAGTATGCCAGCATTTTAGTTTTCATTATGAAATGGAGGCTTACATTTTTAATCAGATGTGTTACTGTAATACCCTATCACAACTGTCACCTATAATGAAATTTCACACTATAGTGGGGTGAGCAAGTGGAAATACAACTTTCATTTACTACCAATACCCATTTATACCAATTAACTTTTATTGGCTGGAATATATTCTTTTCACCAGCAGAGGGGGGCCTCACTCTGGATAAAACTAAGGAGTATAAAATACATAAAAGTCCCATATTAATTTAGGGACTGTGTTCTTAAGTAACATTCAGTCCTTAGTTTACCAGTGATCCACTACTTCATATTCATTCACAGTTCTTGCATAGAATTAAGTGTGTGAGAGAATGTGAAAGGTTTAATAATTATCTCCTTTTTCTTGATCTAAAAAAGGCTAGAGGGGGAAAAACCCAGTAGTGCATTCATAAACTTTTAAATCAGGAATAGAAAAAGCAAATATGGCAGACTTGCTACATCAACAGAATTTTCAAATATTTAATTCAATATATTTTTCCCGTCTTTAGGTCGGCACAGGACCAGGTGTTGGTTTCAATGTTAATATGGCCTTTACTGGGGGCCTTGATCCACCAATGGGAGATACAGAATACTTGACTGCTTTCAGGTAACACTGATGCCATCCTTATACAAAATTCAACTGAAATGAGATCTTCCAGTAGTGAAATCTCTCCTCTTTTCTTGGAGGGTTTTTTGTGAGCTAAATGAAAAACATAGTTCCCAAGTCATTGCGATTATTTTGTACATATATAGATGAGGCTGAAAAATACAAGAGGGATGTTCTTAACTATTAAGCTATAGACAGACGTCACATTTATTCCTCCATAAACATTTTTATGGGAACACAAAACCCAAACAAACAGATGTCCAGATGCCTCAGGTTGCATCACAAATGCCCAAAATTGTGACCACAACAATTTGTAGTAATAGTTTATGCCGCCCTTTCATGGCAGACATCTGCTTGTTTATGGTATGGGATTGCAGGCAGCTCCAGCCACTCCCCCTTCCCCCAGGACTTTAAAGGCACATTGGTAGCCTTGAGACCAGGTAGCAGTGGTAGAGGGTCTAAGTAACATGCCAGACATTAAAATTAATGTAGGATACTTTTTCGCCGCAAAGAAGTTTCACTTCCAATTTCTGTGAGGCAGTTTAGCCATTTTTATCAAGGGATAAATTGCTTAAACGTGGCATATTATGACTCAACATGCAAAACTTGTACTAATTACATGACAGGTGTAACAATCTGCCATGAGTGCGCAGAGTAAAGGGGAACAGGGTCCAAAATGGAACAAAGCATTGTTCTCCATTTCAGGGTTGAATGTCCCATCCTTAGCACTGAAGACCTTTTGCTTTAGCTTACTCTGCTTACCTATTGATACCCATTTTCATTTGTTCTTATTCTACATATGCTCTTGGCACTTAATTTGGGCTTGTATTAACCCATTTAGATTTTTCACCTCAGAGAAGATGAAAAAAAAAAAAAAGAGCCAGATATATGAGTAAGAAATGACCAAGTTGCATAAAAACTGATGGGTTAAAATTGCATAAATAAAATTAGACCATTTTGTTTAAACATTTTTGTTTAAATTAAATATAGTTGAAAAGAAAAGCTGTTTAAAATTGTAAATTGACACCTTACTGCTAAGCTATTAAAAATGTTTATTCTAAATAAAAAATAATAAATCATACATGTTTGCTTCTGAAATGGGGAAGACACTGATTATGCCACAGGAACCGGAGTTTGCTAAAGTGCTGTACCAGCTTTTGACAGCAGTAGTCTATTTTTCATGTTCAAAGTATTTTCTTCATTACGGGTAATTTAATTCAGTGACTAATTACTCAAAGTTGAGAATCCAATTGCAGTTTGATAATATAGGAAAACTTGTTTTCCTCATCTGATTTATTGGACAAAAAACTAGGTGTGTGAGATTCAAGGGTGCCACGCAGTATTAGCACTCTTAGGTGTGCAAGTGATTCACAAAATAGTCAAAGATGTCAAGGTGGAATCTATACTGTCAAAAACAGACCACGACAAATCTGACTTAAGGGTGCTTTCCAACAGAAAAAATGCTGTATTATTTTTCCATAGTCAAATTATAAGTGAAATCAGTTTTTTAAATGGGGTACCACTAAATTCACTTGGAGTACTGTATCCATTTTTGGGCTCCACACTTCAAGAAAGATGTGGACTGACTGGAAAGAGTCCAGAGAAGAGCAACAAGAACGATTAGCAGTTTGGAAGCATGGCTTAGGAGAAAAGGCTGAAAGAACTACATCTATTTAGTCTGGAGAAGAGAAGATTATGAGGATGTTTGATAAGTCTTCAAATACCTGCAGGGCAGTTATAGAAAGGATGGAGACAGACTTTTCTCTGTGGCTGTAGGGGATAGGACTAGGAGAAATGGCATCAAGGTGCAGCAGAGGAAATTCAGGTTGTAGATTAGGAAGAGCTTTTTTGACTGTAAGGGTACTTGAGCGTTGAAACAAGCTGTCTAGAGAAGTTGTGGAATCTCCATCCCTGGAAATTTTCAAGAGCAGATTAGACAGATACTTAGTTGGGATGGCTTAGTCGGGGATGATCTTATCTTGAGCTAGGAGCTGCACTAGATGGCCTTGTGAGATCCCTTCCAGCCCTACTTTCCTATGATTCTATGACTTAGTCCATCTTGGAGGTGACTCAATGTGGTCATGGATCATATTCTTTCCTTATTGTCCCAATAAACTCAGTAAACTTGGTTATTTCTCTCTCTCTTTATTTCAGAGACTGTGGCTAGATGAGACTGAGGTATGGGATAGTGCAGGGATTGGCAATTAGTTGGGCTGGAGGGCCACTTAAGGAGTTTTAAGGAGCTGTTTGGGGGGCGGAAATTGATCCTAGCTGCATGTGCCTTGCACCCACCACCAGGGGCACTAGATGGAGCACGTGGGCAGGGTCTTCATGGAGACTGGCCTAGAACCTCTGTGGGCAGGGTGCACTCAGCTGGGAGGATGGTATGGGACCACGGGTAGGCACAGAGCAGTGTCCAGGGGTGGAGAAGGGACAGGACCAGGATTGTGGGGCAGTAAGATAGCTTGGCACTGGGGCCCAGGGAAGAACCACAATCCACTCGCCACACGTCCCTGCCTGCGGAACTGGTGTTCATCACAGGGACATGCAAGGAAAGGATCATGGCTCTACCTCAGGCCCCAGCCCTGCACTGTCACTGCCCCATGATCCCAGGCCCTGCCCACCTCTCCTTCTCCTGAACACCACTCCCCACCTGTCAGTAGCTCCGTGCATCCGAGCACACCCTGCCTGTGGGGGTCCTGGGCCAGTCTCCAAGGATACCCTGCCTGCCCATCATCCAGTGCCCCCAGTGGTGCATGCAGGGCAGATGGGCTGGGGCAGCAGAGGCGCTGGCAGCAGCAGCCGGGCAAAGCGAGCCCCCACTGTGGGAGCTTCCAGGAAACTGAGTCTGGCCACTGTGCTGCCTCTACCCTGCTGTATGCCCTGGGGGCGGCAGGACTGGCTGCATATGCCCAGGCTGTCCCTCACACACCCGTGTCAGGACCCACTGTAGCCCAGATAGAATCCCTTGATGGGTTGGATCTAGCCCGCAGACTGCATTTCATCCATCCCTGAGATAGTGGGAGAGGTCCTTTTGCCAATCCTGTTAGATCGTAATTAGATTTTCTTAACTGAGTTAGTTCTGTACTCCTGAATTAATACCTGCATCTTCCGTGTCTGGGGACTAATCCAAGACATGATGCCAGATGCTATACAAACAGTCTCTGCCCCAAAAAGTTAGTCTTCTGTCCCTAAGTGCAGCCAGAAAGGTTTAATGCCATGATTCCTGACTTCACCACAGTGTTTAGATATTCTTGCACAACCATATGTGATATCTTGGGATGTCTTAAAATCATTGAATTTTTCAAGTGCCTTTTTTTTTTTTTAAATGGGCGTTTATGTGCTTACTCTTATTTTCCTCAACATGTCATGGCTCTTTGAAGCAACAGAAGACTAATGTTATCTGACTCGACGCTTGTGCATCTGCACTGTTTATGGCCCCATACCTGAGCCACCCATGAAAGGTCTATTGTAGTTCTGGTGCAGGGTCCTAATTGGAGACATTGTGGGGGAGAAGGGGTGCATTCTGATTGATATTATTCTTCTCCATTGACATCAGGCAGCCAAAATAGTTCTGTTAACACAAGTCCTGTGATTCAACAGAAAACTGTCACAACAGAATGTTGTCACTAGATCAGCATATATTACATCACACATAACTCACCATTTCCTTTGGTTTTTATATACCCATGGATGGCAATTTGTTTTGTGACAGCGTTCTGTTCCCTTGACATAGGTGACTCTCCAGACCTCTGTTCTGCTCTTATGCTTTATTAAACAAAAAGAAAAAGAAAAAAAGCTTAAGACAAAATAAGGGTGTGTTACATGATAGAACATGGTTTGTCAGAGCCTTGACTTTCTCATCTCATCGAAAGGGGAGCAGAACATTGGAGCTTTTCCTCAGTGCAGAAAATTCTTGTCCACCAGCAGTTTTTGAGTTTGTCTAAAATTTACAAAAATGCTTTGTTGAACTGCAATAAGAAAGCTCAGAGAAGAGTGACACTGCATCACTCACATTTAAGAATGTAGTGGAAGCTTGCATTCATGCTTTCAGCCCTTGTAAATGTGGCTAGCATAAAAGGACAGTCTGATATTTACTGTCAAGGCAAAGTAATAACAGGGTGAAATGAGGATAAGCCATTTTGACTAAAAGAGAACTTTAGGTAATGTACTGATAAACAGAGTGCTATTTGTGGGACAAGACTTTCCTTTCTAAATATTTTTTAAAGTTTTTTCCATGTGGAAGTGCATATAAATTACTGATCTGCCACAGTTTTATAAATTTCATTTTTTTTCCCAGGGATCATTCTGTCTTTCTTCTATTCATATTGTTTTCTACAGCTGTCAGTTGACATGGGTTTATCCCTCCAGATTAGGTTTAACCCACTTCTGGTATACACTTTACATCATTTTAGGGAGATGTTGACTAGCCAAAACATTGGATGCAAATATATGGAAAATTGTGAAAATACCCAAATGGAATATGAACTTTATGAGGTAGTCCTTTATCTTTTAAGTAGGACAGCAGCATCCTTCTCCTTCCTTTGTTTTTATACAAATTTTTTTAGCCCCTAAAATATCAATTCATTATTTTGAACAAAGGAGAATTTGACACCTTTGACAGATTTTTTAAAAGCTACAAATAATGTATATAATCCAACGCAACATGTAGTTAAAGTAACTATAATGTACCTTCCTGTTTTCCTCCACTTGTAAGAAACAATACTGAATTTATAGACTATAGTCCAAAGTGGAGATTTGTTTATCCCAGGTTTTTAGGAAAGAACCTGGAGTCCCAGAGTGACATACATACTATTAAACATTCATTGAATTTCAAGGCTGTTAAAACTGTTCTACAGAAGAAAAAAGGTTGTAACCAAACTTTGCTTAATTGATGCTGATGATTGTATTTTATTTTTTTGCCCAGAGAATGTAGCTGTTAAAGTATATGTACTACAGACAGTCTTCGCTCTTTTTGCCAGTGCTACTAAAAAGTTATT